CATGCACATTTACATTTGTGAAGGAATACATGTATCTAGATATGCATGAATTCATGCATACATCTATACACATAGCTATATGCATGCACGCATATCTATACATACGTATATATACATATATGTTCCGCTTCGAATGCTGCTATAAGGGAGCCTCTCCTGTACATAAATTTGGCCCTGGGCGCTCCCACCGACATGAAGTTACAATGTTCGGTTCCAGACGACCCCACCGGGCACTGGAACGGCCCACGACCGCTCGAAGAACAGCCCGAGAAGGGCCCCAGAAGCCCCAGGGCGTTCGAAGACGGCCCAGTGCAGCCTCCAGACGGCTTGCGAGGCTTCCCCAGCCGCCCCACCTCCCAGAGGCTTTGAGGAGGCGAAGACAATTGATGAAGTCCTTCTGAGATTTTTTGGTTCCCGCCTTCTCGACCCAAGAGCGGCCAAGGACGGCTCTGACGGCCTGCGAGCTCGCAACAAGACGGCCCAAGAGGGTCCCCAGTCGACCTCAGACGGCCCCGAGACCGCCCAAGAGAGTCCCAACACGGCCCGAAAAGGCCCCACGAGGCTCCCATGGGGGCCCCCGAGAGAGCCCCCAGTACGGCCCAAGCCCGGCAAGGCAGCCCAGCAGGGTCCCAGCACGGCCCAAGAGTGCCAGAGAACTGCTCAAAAGGGCTCCACGAGGACTACCACGAAGGCCCAGACACGCCAAACACGTGCATTCCAGAGGCCTCCAGGATTTTCCCACAGGCCTCCAAGCAGATTTACTCGGGTGTTCGGATGAGGGTGTTCGGGTGTTCGGGCGTTCGCGTGTTGGGGTCATTGGTTGAGTTTGGCTTGTGATGTCAGGGTTCAGGTGTATGCTAAGGTGATAGGGTTCTGGCGTTCAGGTTGGGGCGTTCGAGACCACGAGAGCTTGGGTTGGGTGTTCGGGCTCCGGTGGTTGAGTTCGGGTTGGGATGTCAGGGTTCAGGAGTATGGTACGATGATTGGGTTTTGGCGTTCAGGTTGGAATTTCCGAGCCCACGAGAGCCCATGGTGAGCGAGCGGAAAATTCATTTCAAAATTCGAAATTCACACATAAGCGCACAGTCTTCGCCCACCAGCAACGACCGTGACGTTGCCGGCAGCAGCCACCTCCTCCTCCTCCTCCTCCTTTTCCTCCTCGTCCTCCTCCTCGTCCTCCTCTTCTTTCTCCTTCTCCTCCTCCTCCTCCTCCTCCTCGTCCTTCCCCTCCTCCTCCTCCTCCTCCTACTCCTCCTCCTCCTCTTCCTCCTCCTCCTCCGCCTCCTTTTCCTCCTCTTCCTCCTCCTCCTCCTCCTCCTTTTCCTCCTCCTCCTCATTTTCCTCCTCCTCCTCCTCCTCCTCCTCCTCCTCCTCCTCCTTTGTGTGGTCCTTCACGGGAGCCTCAACGGGTCCCACAATTTCTTGCGAGTTCGGGGGCTTCGTCTGGATTTAGCTTTGGTCGACATTGGACGAAGTCAGGACGAAATGGTGACGAGGGGTGTTCGATATCTGGACGTGACGGAATCCAGTCGAAATCACTTTTAGAATGGGGCCGCGGAGGTTCACAGAGGCCCCTATGAAGGCTCACTGAACCACCTCCTCCTCCTTCTCCTCCCCCTCCTCCTTCTCCTCCTCACTCGTCCTCTCCTCCGCTGCAAGTCTCGCAAGTCTCCGGAGCTCCTCATGGCAAGACCTCGACTCCAGGTGCGCCTCCTCCTCCTCCCGCTCGTACTCCCCCTCCCCCCTCTTCCACCCCTCCCTCCTCCACCTCCTCCCTCCCTCCCTCCCCCCCCCTCCCTCCCTCCTCCCTCCATCCCTCCTCCTCCCTCCTCCTCCTCCCTCCTCCTCCTTCTCTCCTCTGGCGCAGCCCGCGGCCCGCAGGGCGGCCCGCCTCCGCGCCGCGCCCGCCCCCCCCCCCCCCCACGCACGCCAACGCCCCTGCGGCCCGGCGCCGCGGCAGAGACAGTGACACCGCGAGAGCAGCATCGCCCCAGCCGCTTAGCTGCCCTGGTGCGCTTCAAGTCGGGCCTGTCCCTCTGCATGGGGGGAAACTCAAAAATAGCCCGCAAATGCTCGGGGACGATTAATTTGACCAGTTTTGAGCATTTTGGAGGTATTCTTGGGGTACCCTTTACGTTTCGTCCAAAATCCGCCTGTAGGGGGACACGCCCGACCTAAGGAGCGCTCCTTCCGACATGCAGCGCGTGCCGTGTGCGAGACGTCCGCGGTAGCGTGCCGCGTGCTGGCTCGGCGCGCGTTGGGGGCAAGTTTTTGGCGAGCGCGTCGCGCCAGACCTGCGCATGTTCAGTCGGCGTGCCGGGCTCCGTGTGAACACGCTAGGTGTGTTGCGCGTTGCGCATAAGGGGCAGCTAGGAGTATCGCACCCCAGATCCCTTTGAGCCATGGCAGCATCTTGATTATCTTGTTGTTAATTTATTTGTTTGTTTGCTCGTTTCGCTATTTTCGGCCTCTGGGGGCCGCTACCGGTCCTCGGGACCGTAGACAAAAACGACTCAGGATGAAAATCTGGTCCTGGGGAAGGGAATCGAGACTTCCAGGGGTCCACGTCATGAACAAAAAATCATGACGTCGGGGGTCTGGGTACGGTTGGGGACTTTTCGATCGCGTGTCGCTCCGCCAGTTTTTGGTCTACCACGCCTCTGCGCGACGCGCTGTCCACTTTCCGGTCCCCACGCGTCAACGTCCCGAGCCTTTCCGAGCCTCTCGCCTCGCGGGGCGGAGCGACACGCTATCCACTCGCAGCAGCGGAGGCTCTTCGTCGGTTCGGCCCCCGGGGGCCCTCACCGGGCCCCGGGGTCGTCAGAGCACGCCCCAGGACGGAAAGCTGGCCCTGGGGAAGGGGATCGGGACTTCCGGGGAAGGGGATCGGGAAGCTGAACCAAGTCATGACATCGCAGGTCTGGGAAGTGATCGCGACGGGAGCCCTGGACCGCGGCCCCCTGCGGCATGCCTCTCTCGGCCTGGGCCCGGCCGCGGGCGCAGGCCCCCGACGTCACGACTTTTCCCCATGAGGTCGGCCCCCAGCGGTCTGGACCCACTCCCCTGGACAGGCGCTTCGTCCCGAGTCGTGTTCTGACGGTTCCGAGGGCAGGGGGGGGCCCCCACGGGGGCCGCAAACGGCGAAACACAAAAGCCCGTCATGGTTTTTCCATGACCCGAGGAGAAAGCATGCTACGCATGTGGTGAAGGCAGCGATGCATCAATCAGATTTGGGTCCGTGAGTGGATCAGTCTGGAGTGTCCATGTCGAGGCCCTGATGCCTCCTTTGCTTCTTGAGCCGGCCATGATGCCCGCTCGTGCCCACCCCGTCCCGTCGCCAGGGCCTTCGCATCCCCCCCCTGTGGTGCTGGGCGGGCCCCCGGGGGCTCGCGCCGGGGGGTGCCGCCCCCGGGCGGCGTGGCGGACCTCTGCGGCGCCTCGGGGCTCATGGCCGCCGCCGCGCGCCCTCGCCCTGCCGCGCCGAGCTGCCGCGCGCCCCCTCGGGCGCGCGGGCGCGCGCGCGCGCGCGGGGGGGGGGGGGCGGGCCGCCCGCCGCCCGCGGCCGTCCGCCGTCGCAGTGGCCGCTGGCCGCCGCTGGCCGCCGTCGGCGGCCGCGGCCGCCGCGGCCGCCGCCGCCGTCGCGGCCGCCTGCCTGCCTGCCTGCCTGCCTGCTGCGGCCCGCGCCCCGCGTCGTGTCCTCTGCCTCCCCCCGCCTCCGCCGCCCTGCCCTGCCCTGCCGCGTGCTCCCGGGGGGGAGGGGTGGGGGCCGGCAGGGGTGCGGGGGCCCCCAAGGCTTGCGGAGGTCGATGGATGGAGAGGAAGCGTGCTGCCAAACAAGTTCCAGATGTCTGAAGCATGTTTCAAACATGTTTTAGACATGTAAAAACATGTTCTCCAGCTTCGGACCCAAGACTGCAGGCTGGCATGGGGTGAAACACCTGACGCAAACAGCATCGCGGGTGAGACAGCGCTGCCTTAAGCAGAGCAAAGGAGGAGGAGGAGGAGGAGGAGGAGGAGGAGGAGGAGGAGGAGGAGGAGGAGAAGGAGGAGGAGGAGGAGGACAGTTGTAATTCAGTGGTGGGCTTGTTAGAGTGTCCAGTGTCATGGCGTCCACAGCCCCAGGCGGTGTGGTGACCGCTCCGCGTGGTGAGCCCGCGGGGAAGCCCAGAGGTGAGGCCCGTCTCAGCAGCAGGAGGAGGCGGCGCGCGACAATGCGATAACGCTCGGGCGGCCCACGATGCCATCCCAATGCCAAGCTTCAGGACGTCGACATGATGAAAAAATCTCAATTTCAAAATCGTTGCGGCTCCTTGGGGGGAGGTATGCCCAGAGCTCCGAGGAGGCATGTCGCTTTCCACTCGGCGGCTGGGTGCCGGCCTCCGGGACCCGCTCTCGGGCCCGAGGACCCTCAGATGATGGATCGGGGAGGAGGAGGAGGAGGAGGAGGAGGAGGAGGAGGAGGAGGAGGAGGAGGAGGAGGAGGAGGAGGAGGAGGAGGAGGAGGAGGAGGAGGAAGAGGAGGAGGAGGAAAAGGGGCCCCAGACCTGATCGCGTCGTCGAAAAGTCAGGGCGGCAAGCTTTTCACCATGCTCGGCCCTTGGGGGCCCTCGCCGGGCCCCGGGACCGTCAGGAACGGCCTGGGTGAGAAACCGGTCCCGGGGAAAGGGTCGGGACTTCCGGGGGCGCCGAATGGAACAAATCAGGACGTCGCGTAGACCCCCGACGTCATGAATTTGTCATAACGTCGACCCCCAGAGGTCTCGACCCCTTCCCTGCAGGGGACAGGTTTCTCATCCTGAGTCGATGTTTGCCGGTCCCGAGCGCCGGTCAGGGCCTCCAGAGGCCGAACACTGCAGAACACCTGCCGTCGTGTTTTTTCATACCTCGAGGGGGTCTGGGACTCGGGTCGTCGTTCTTCGCGGGCGTCTCGGGCGACTGGGGGCCTCCCAGGCCCCAGGGCCGCGCGGTGGCGGGCAGAGCGCGGCGAGGCCTCTCGGGAGGCGCGGGGCGGGTCGCTCGGGGGCCGACGCCGCGCGCCGGGGGCGGGCGTCCTGTTCCGCGCCGCCCAGGCGTGCCCGCGTCGCGACAAGAAGTCGGGCCGGGAGGTCTGCGTTGCCTGCGGCTTCTGCAGAGGCCGAGAAGCAAGCAGCGACGAAGCGTCCCGGCGTGCCTCTGGGCCTAATTACCAACACCAGTGTTCTAAGAGCGGCCGGTGGTTTCCACGAATACTGTTCTCAGAACGTTTCTGGCTGGGACTGTCTTGTTCTGACACAGCGGTTTTCTGTTCTGAGAGAATTTCGTTTTTGTAGGGAACCGATGGGTTCCCCGGGGGGTGCTTACGTTTTCGGCCCCACGGGGGCCCCCATGGGGGGGGCGCACAAAGGCCCCTGCAGAGGGGGCGCCCTGGCGCGGGGGGCCCCGCGGGGACCCTACAGAGGCATGCCGCAAAGCCCGCTTCTGGGCCCCCATAGGGGGCCCCTCCCGGGCTCTGGGGCCGTCAGACACGACTCGGGATGAAAGGCCAGTCCAGTGAGAGGTGTCGGGGCTTCCCAGGACCAGGCCTGAACAAAGTCAAGGCACCGGGGCCCAGGGCCCCCTCTTCCTGCGCCATCTGTCGAGCCAGGTCGATGTGTGAGGGTCCCGGGGCCCGAAACCTGGCGAACACCAAACCCAGTTCGAAAAACTGAGACCAGGGTCGCAGGTTCCTCCTATAGATAATTTCTCCCTGTCGCACCCCGAGGCAAGTTTTTAGGGCGGGCCGGGCGTTTCATCTCAGACAGCCTCACCATTTATGACCCTGAAGCTCCACAAGTGACAACAGTTTCACAGACGGAGGGCGGGTCGTTTTCAACATGTTGCTCTTGCCTTAGCGCCGCGCACATTCGTTTTAAACATTTGCAAGAGTTTCACGGATTGAAGGCGGATGTTTTTCAACATGTGGCTCTCGCCTTGGCGCGGCGCACATTCGTTTCAAACATTTGCAAGAGTTTCACGGATTGAGGGCGGTTCCTTTTCAAAATGCGGCTGTCGCCTCAGCGCCGCGCACATTCGCTTTTAACATTTGCAAGAGTTTCACGGATTCAGGGCGGGTGGTTTTCAAAATGTAGCTCTCGTCTTAGCGCCGCGCACATCCGGTTAACAACATTACAACAGTTTCACGGATTGAAGACGGGTGATGTTCAAAATGTGGCTCTCGCCTTAGCGCGGCGCACATTCGTTGCAAACATCTGCAAGAGTTTCATTTTCAAAATGTGGCTCTTGCCTTAGCGCCGCGCATATTCATTTTTAACATTAGGAAGAGTTTCACGGATTCCCATGATCAACGTACCAGAAATTGTGTCCTGGAAGGATTCAGGAGCATGCGGGCGCAACAGTTATGTTGACTCGCGGTGTTGAGCCCCCAAAAATGGCGTTCTGGCACGATTCCGGATCGTCAAGTCGCAGCAGTCAGGTTGATACGTGACGACGTGGCGTTGACAGCTCGAGTTTGGCACGCTTCAGGATCGTCAAACGGTTGTCTTCCACCAATGGAAATGAGCCGTTGTAGGGGCTTATCAAGAGGGAGCTTGGAGGGAGGGTTAATTCCAATGTCGTTGATGACTCGTAGGTTTACAATGGTCCTCTTCACCTTCACAGGGGTATGCTTAACTTTAAGGGCAGTAGCGCTACACTTCAACCCTCCTGTTCCTCCTCCTCCTCCTCCTCCTCCTCTTCCTCCTCCTCCTCGATGATGGGCAATCTTGCTTTTTCAGCCTCCGCTGATGTCTGGCTGTTGGCAGGCCCCGCTGGAACTACCAGCGAGCCCTCGAAAAGAGAGGGCCCAGGGCGAGATGAGCGCTACCTGCTCCAAAACAGCTGCGGCACAATGTCGGCGTGCGGATTCACTACCCCAGAACTTCCATCCAACAATTCATGCTTAGCTCAACGACTCGTTTGGCCACCAGCTGTCTGATAGGAGGCTGCCATTAGTGACGGACCTGCGCTGTACCATGCAATACGGACCGAGACCGGCCTCATTGCAATCTGCAGCTCCAGTCTCCACCTGGCAATCACTTCATTGAGTGCTCTTCCCACCCGTCGGGAGTACAGCAGAGGGTGGCAAGGAAGCCTCAACCAGAGAACTTCCTGGGGCTGGGGGTTGGTTCTGCGAACTGGCACCCAGCAAAATTGCACTTCTTCTGCAAGCTGCCAGGCTTTGGGTCGATTGGAGAGGCCTGACGGCCGGTGCCGCCGACCCTGATCGAAAGGGCTAGGAGTGGGAGGAGGAGGAGGAGGAGGAGGAGGAGGAGGAGGAGGAGGATTCTAAAAATGGCTGAAATTGTTGAGCAGTTTCAGCTTAGCCTCTTGGAGAATTGCCTCGGTGCTGCCGCGAGCCCTTGGCCTACGCACTCCCGCTGCGGGCCAGCTGCGATGCACCGCACTGCCACTGGGTCGTGCCCACCCTTAAAGGACATGAGCACTGCACTGCAATCCTCCTCCTCCTCCTCCTCCTCCTCCTCCTCCTCGCACCTCCTCCTCCTCCTCCTCCACCGATTCCTCGTCCTCCTCCTCCTCCTCCTCCTCATCTTCCCCCTCCCCCCTCCCCCTCCTCCCCTCCTCCTCCTCCTCCTCCTCCTCGTCCTCCTCCTCCTCGCCCTCCTCCATCCCTTTTCCTCATACCTAATTTTTCCCTGTCGCACCCTGGGGCCAGTTTTTAGGGCGGGTCGGGCGTTTCGCATGAAGCTTCGTCACCACTTATGACCCTGAAGCTCAAAAAGTGACAACCGTTTCACAGATGGAGGGCGGGTCGTTTTCAACATGTTGCTCTCGCCTTAGCGCCGCGCGCATTCGTTCAAAACAAATGGCAGTAGTTTCACGGATTGAGGGCGGGTGGTTTTCAACATGTGGCTCTTGCTGTAGCGCGGCGCACATGCTACTGTAACAGTTTGCAAGAGTTCCACGGGTTGAGGGCGGGTGGTTTTCAACATGCGGTTCTCGCCTCAGCGCCGCGCACATCCGTTTTAAACAACCTGCCAGAGTTTCACGGATTGAAGTCGGCTGGTTTTCAAAATCTGGCTCTCGCCTTTGGCGCGGCGCGCATTTGCTTGAAACAGTTGTAAGGATTTCATGGATGGCAGGCGGGTGATTTTCAAAATGTCGCTCTCGCATCAGCGCCGCGCGCATTCGTCTAATCAATTTGCAAGAGTTTCGCGGATTCGGGGCGACTGGTTTTCAACATGTGGCTCTCGCCTTTGGCGCCGCGCACATTTGTTTAAACAAACTGCAAGAGTTTGACGGACTGAGGGCGGGTGGTCTTCAAAATCTGGCTCTCGCCTTTGGCGCCGCGCAGATTTGTTTTACAAGTTTGCAGGAGTTCCACGGGTTGAGGGCGGGTGGTATTCAAAATGTTGCTCTCGCCTCAGCGCCGCGCACATTCGTTCGAGAAAGTTCTAAGAGTTTCATGGATTGAAGGCGGGTGGTTTTCAAAATGTGGCTCTCGCTTCAGCGCCGCGCACATACGTTTAAACAAACTGCAAGAGTTTCATGGATTGATGGCGGGTGGTTTTCAACATGTGGCTCTCGTCTTAGCGCTGCACGCACTCGCTTCGAAGATTTCGAAGAGTTTCGCGGATTGAGGGCGGTTCCTTTTTGAAAATGTGGTTCTTAGCGCCGCGCATATTCGTTTCAACAAATTACAAGCGTTTCACGGACTCCCATGATCAGTGCACCAAGAATTGTGTTTTTGGAAGGATTCAGCATTCTGAAGGCGCGACAGTTACGTTGATTCGTTGGGTTGAAGTCTCAGGAATGGTGTTCTGGCGCGATTCAAGATCGCCAAGACGTAACAGTCAGGTTGATCCGTTGCGCTGGAATCCCGAGCACACTGTTCTGGCATGCTTCAGGGTCTTCAAACAGTTGTCTTCCACCGAGGCAGCTCCTTCAGTGGAGAAGATCCGTTGCAGGGGCCTATGGAAGTGGAGTTTTGGAGGGAGGGTTTAGTCCATCTTCGTTGATGACTCTTGGGTTTCCCCTGGGGCGCCGCCGCCTCGTCTGGCCGCAGCGACGGCGCCGGCCGGGCCGACGGACGCCCCTTGCCGCGCTACGCCGCGCGCCGCCAGCGCCTCGGTGGCTCGAAAGGCGGCCGCTGCGCAGAGGGCCTGCGAGGCACGCGCGTGGGCCGGGTCGGCCAGTGGCGCGGCGCGGCGGCGGCGATGCGGGCCGGGCTCGTGGCTGGCGCCGTCGTGGACCGGCGGCGGCCTCGGATCGCACCCTGCCCGAGGTCCTGGCGCTGCCATTTGTTTCTCGCGGCGGGCGTCTTCGCCCCGTTTCATCGGGCCCGAGGGCCCTGACAGATGGATCCGGCTCGAGAGATGGGGCAGAAAGGTGGGGTTTGGGGTTTCGGTTGTGGTTATTGTTGTTGCTGTTGTTGTTGTTGTTGAACATTATTAATTCTAAAGAATAATTATTGTTGGGACCCCTGGTGCACGGCCCCCCCGCCGCGCCTAGGCCGCAGCTACATTTTCATCATTTTTTCGCGAAAGCTTCAGAAAAGTGGATGGGGTCCAGATCCGGTTGTTTTGTTGTAATCCGTTTTCCCTTGCAAAAAACACTATAAAATGACATTTCTTGTTCTAATATAATCAAATTTCAAGAATCCCTTGCAAAAAATAAGGTAAAGTGGACATTCGCGCGCGCAAGACGAAATCCTTCCAAAAGCTTAGTGTTCGGAGCGATTTTAACATAAAAACATCAAAAAACCAATGGTTTTTCAACAAAAAAATGTCAAAATCTCATCCCGCGCGCTCTTGCGGATTCGTAGGAAACCCAACACTTTTTAAACATTTCTGTCAAACGGGCTTTTGCGAGCAACTTTTTCGAACTTCTGCGACAACGGTTGCGCACCTGCCAGGGCCATCATCCCTGTCAAATAATACCATGCGGGACACATTCGTTTTTTCTTCGCGCGCGCACGCCGTCGTCGTCGGCCGCGGGGCCCTGAATAGTAGCCACGGTCGTCCGCATGCCACGAAGTGAAGTGTCCGAACGTCATAGGGCGGGAAGCTGGGTGTGGGTGGTGGCGAAGAGTCGTTTGGAAACTTGGTAGAGCTTGAACCGGCCCCCCACAAAGTGGGGGTATTGCCCGCCTCCTATGAAAACCCTGGCACTGGTGAGAACGGAGTGTCCCCAGTCTTAAATGATTGTTGTTGTTGTTGTTGTTGATGTTGTTGTTGTTGTTGCTGTTGTTGTTGTTGTTGTAGTATTCGTTGTTGTATTTATGTGTGTATGTGTTGTTGGAGTTGCTGCTGTTGCTGTTGTTGTTGTTGTTGTTGTTGTTGTTGTCGTCGTCGTCGTCGTCGTCGTCGTCGTCGTCGTTGTTGTTGTTGTTGTTGTCGTTGTTGTTGTTGTTGTTGTTGTTGTTGTTGTTGTTGTTGTTGCTGCTGTTGTTGTTGTTGTTGTATTCGTTGTTGTATTTATGTGTGTATGTGTTGTTGGAGTTGCTGCTGTTGCTGCTGTTGTTGTTGTTGTTGTTTTTGTTGTTTGTCGTTGCTGTTGCTGTTGTTGTTGCTGCTGTTGTTGTTGCTGTTGCTGTTGCTGTTGCTGTTGCTGTTGCTGTTGTTGTTGTTGTTGTTGTTGTTGTTGTTGTTGTTGTTGTTGGTCTCTCATTAACTCGTGAAACATAATTGTTGTTGATCCCCCCTCTGGTGACAATTGTGTTTTTTTTTCCATTGAAGTGCTTCCTCCGGGGTTCGCACCCTGTTTTTAGCAGGGGAAGTCACGGGGCTCAAACTGCGTTGGTGTCCCCCGGATTTCAACAACGGCTCCCGCCTGAGACTTCCTCCAAATTTAGACAGTACTCCCGCTCCCGCCTGAGATGTCTTCGAATTTTACTCAAGTATCGCGCTCTCGCTTGGGACGCTTTTTACGCTTTATGAAAACAATTGATATCGGCGCTCTGGAGTCGCGCTCTCGCGGGAGATTTGCCTGCAATGTACTACAGAATCGCGCTCTTACGTTGGAATTCCCTGCAATTTGCTAAAGCGCCGCGCCCCCGACACTCAGGCGCCCAGGAGTCGCGCTCACGCTTAGGACTCCCTCGCAGCTTATTTGGGAGTCGGGATCTCGCTGCCCTTCGTGGCCCCGTTGCAGCCCTTCGCTGCCCTTCGTGGCCCCGTTGCAGCCCTTCGTGGCCCCCTCGCTGCCCTTCATTGCCCCGTTGCAGCCCTTCGTGGCCCCGTTGCAGCCTTTCGTTGCCCCCTCGCTGCCCTTCGTGGCCCCGTTGCAGCCCTTCGTGGCCCCCTTGCTGCCCTTCGTGGCCCCGTTGCAGCCCTTCGTGGCCCCGTTGCAGCCCTTCGTGGTCCCGTTGCGCCCCTTCGTGGCCCCCTCGCTGCCCTTCGTGGCCCCGTTGCAGCCCTTCGTGGCCGCCTCGCTACCCTTCGTGGCCCCATATATGTATGCCCTTCGTGGCCCCCGCTTATTCGCGCCCTTCGTGGCCCCATATGCATGCGCTTCGTGGCCCCGCCGTCGCCTTTCGTGGCCCCCTCGCTGCCCTCAGTGGCCCCGTCCTTGCCTCTGCGGCCCAATATACGTATGCCCTTCGTGGCCCCCGCTTATTCGCGCCGGTTGTGGCCCCAGCTGCTTGCCCTTCGTGGCCCCGCTGTTGCCTTTTGTGGCCTCCTCGCTGGCCTACGTGGCCCCGTTGCTACCCTCAGTAGCCCCGTCGTTGCCCTCTGTGGCCCCGCATTATCTGCCCTTCGTGGCCCCCGCTCGTTCGCGCCCTTCGTTGCCCCATACGCATGCCCTTCGTGGCCCCGCTGTCGCCCTTTCGTGGCCTCCTTCCTGCCCTTCGTGTTCCTGCTGTCGCTCTCGTTCTCACTCTTGCTCTCGCTTTCGCTCGTCGTCGTCGTCGTCGTCGTCGTCGTCGTCGTCGTCGTCGTCGTCGTCGTCGTGGTCGGTCACCTGTCCGTCCCGCTTGGGGTCGGGTTGTCGCCGATCAGCGTTGACGCTGGCCAGGCTGGTGGTCCGCGGCCGCCCCGCCGCTTGCCTGGGCCCGGCCTGCAGGAAGAGATTCACCCCCCAAAAAGGGTTACGATCGAAGACGAAGAAGGCGGACATCGAGGGTTTGGGAAATACGCGTTGACGGACACTCGAGCAGATACGAGCGAACAGTCTTAACATGATTGTTGTTGTTGTCGTCGTCGTCATCATCGTCGTTGTTGCTGCTGTTGTTGTTGTTGTTGTTGTTGTTGTTGTTGCTGTTGTTGTTGTTGTTGTTGTTGTTGTTGTTGTTGTTGTTGTCGTTATTGTTGTTGTTGAACTCTCATTCTTAAATCATAATTTTTGTTGATCCCCCCTCACCGGTGCGCATTGTTTTTTTTTCAATTGAAGTGCCCCCCCCCGGGGCTCGCACCTTGCTTTTTGTCAAAGAAAGTCTTCCTGCTCAAACTGGCCCCCTGGCCCCCGGGCTACAACAATAACGGATCCCCGCTCCCGCCCGAGACTTCCTTGCATTTTATTCAAGAATCGCGCTCTCGCTTGGGACTTCCTTTCGATTTATTCAGGAATCGCTCCGCCAGCGCTCTGGAGTCGCGCTCTCGCTGGAGACGTGCTTGCAATTTGCTGAAGAATAGCGCCCTTGCGTTGGAATTTCTTGCAATTTACTCCAACGCCGCGCTCCCGACACCCAGGCACCCAGGACTCGCTCACGCTTAGGACTCCTTCACAGATTACCTAGGCATCGGGATCTCGCTGCCCTTCGTGGCCCCGTTGCAGCCCTTCCTGGCCCCCTCGCTTTGTTTCGTGGCCCCGTTGCAGCCCTTCTTGGCCCCCTCGCTTTGTTTCGTGGCCCCGTTGCAGCCCCTCGTGGCCTCCTCCTTGCCCTTCGTGGCCCCGTTGCAGCCCTTCGTGGCCCCCTCGCTTTGTTTCGTGGCCCGGTTGCAGCCCTTCGTGGCCCCCTCGCTGCCCTTCGTGGCCCCGTTGTAGCCCTTCGTGGCCCCGTTGCAGCCCTTCGTGGCCCCCTCGCTGCCCTTCGTGGCCCCGTTGCAGCCCTTCGTGGCCTCCTCGCTTTGTTTCGTGGCCCCATATATGTGTGTCTTTCGTGGCCCCCGCTTGTTCGCGCCCGTGGTGGCCCCATGTGCATGCCCTTCGTAGCCCCGCTGTCGTCCTTCGTGGCCCCCCGCTGCCCTCCGTGTCCCCGTTGCTGCCCTCAGTTGCCCCGTCCTTACCCTCCGCGGCCCAACATACGTATGCCCTTCGTGGCCCCCGCTCGTTCGCGCCCGTTGTGGCCCCATGTTCATGCCCTTCGTGACCCCGCTGTCGCCGTTTGTGGCCCCCTCATTGTCCTACGTGGCCCAGGTGCTACCCTCAGTGGCCCCATCGTTGCCTTCTGTGGCCCCGCATTATCTGCCCTTCGTGGCCCACGCTCGTTCGCGCTCTTCGTGGCCCCATACGCATTCCCTTCGTGTCCCCGCTGTCGCCCTTCGTGGCCTACTTCGTGTCCTTCGTGGCTCTGCTGTCGTTCTCTCTCGCTCTTGCTTTCGCTCGTCGTCGTCGTCGCCGTCGCCGTCGTTGCCGTCGTCGTCGACGTCGTCACCGTCGTCGTCGTCGTCGTCGTCGTCGTCGTCGTCGTGGTCGGTCCACTGTCCGTCCCTCTTGGGGTCGGGTCGACGGTCCGCGGCCGCCCCGCCGATCAGCGCTGCCGCTGGCCAGGCCGACGGTCCGCGGCCGCCCCGCCGCTTGCCGGGGCCCGGCCTGCAGGGAAGAAAGGTATACCCCCCAAAAGGGGTTCGATCGAAGACGAAAAGGGCGGGTATCGAGGGTTTGGGAAATTCGCGTTGTTCGACACTCGAGCAGATAAGGGCGAACCGTCTTAAAATGATTGTTGTTGTTGTTGCTGCTGCTGTTGTTGCTGTTGTTGCTGCTGCTGTTGTTGTTGTTGTTGTTGTTGTTGTTGTTGTTGTTGTTGTTGTTGTTGTTGTTGTTGTTGTTGTTGTTGTTGTTGTTGCTGCTGTTCTTGCGATGTTGCGTTTTCGCAACGTTGGATCTCAGGGCATCCCTCCTCAGTCGTGCAACAAGTCAGGACGGATCTTTTCGATGTTTTCGGCCTTTGGGGGCCCTCACTGGGCCCCGGGACCATCAAGAAAACGACTGGGGATGAAAAGCCAGTCCCGGAGAAAGGGTCGGGACTTCTGGGGACCGCGTAGTGTCAGAGCCCCGAATCATCAGGGGTAACTCGGGTCAGGGATAA